AGCGGCGGCAGCGCCAGCGAGAGCCGGGAGAGCTTGGCTGCGAGAGGAGAGACCGGGTCAGCCCTCATCCTGGGAAACCGAGACCTGCCTCCCGCCTGGCTGTGTCCTCGGTCATCTCGGACCACAGTCGGGGCCTCGGTTTCCCTCCTGGTGAGCCCCGGGGCTGCACGGGGGTCTTCCTCCACGCAGGGCGAGGCCTGCCCCCGACCCCCGTGCCACCTTCTCCGCGACCCACCAGGCCCTGCCGACCTCTCTCTGCAAGCCCCGTCCCCACCTCATTCTGGCTTGACTCCCATCCAGCAGGGCCACCTCCCTCTTCCTCCCACCTCTGAGCCTGTGCCTGGGCTGCTGCTTCTGTCTGGAACGTCCTTTTTTAACTCAAGTCCTGGCCATCCTCCAGCTAGATCGGGGCGTCCAGACCCCGCGCCCCCCCAGGCGGTCCTCCGGCCAGACCCCCAGCTCTGCACCCCCCAGCATCAAGCACCTCTCCTTCGAGAGATCACCTCAGTATATAACTATACTTCAAAGGCAGGTGATGTGATTAGTGTTGGCCTTTCCACAGAACAGAGACCACGTCCCGCTCGTTCCGCTGCATCCCCAAGCCCCAAGCACACAGACGTACTCAGCCAGTGTTTGTGGGGCTGATGGATATATTAATCCCCGCTATGTGATGTTGATCACGGTACTTTCCCTCTCTGGCCCTCAATCACCAGACAAAATTGGCGTGTCTAACCATGGCTAGGCCCTTTCCCTGCCCTTAGGCTCCCAGATCTCATCCTGCTGGGAGCGAAGGGCTCCAGGTGCCAGGAGAAGGGAACTCCCTGCCTTCAAATCCCAAACCTGCCCACTCGCTGTGTGTCCCTGGGCAAGCAGATCCACCTCTCTGAGCCGCTGTTTCCTCACCGGTAAATGGCAGGGGCTGCTCATTCATTCGTGCGTAAGTGAACTGTGTGCCAGGCCCTGTGGGGGGCGATGGTGGGGATCGGAGGAAGGTGAGCGGGGGCAGAAAGAAGATGGATGTGGCCCGGGTCCCCTCCTCCCTCATTCACTGTACTCCAGCGTCCCTGGCCTTTGGCTGTTATTCCCTGATCTTGCCAACTTAGGGCCCATCGCAGTGCCCTACACCTGATGCCTACCTGACTCATTTTCTTCATGTCGGCTCAAAAGTCACCTCCATATTGAGGCTTTCTCTGACTACCCATCTCAGGGTGATGGGGGGGGGGGGTTGCTGTATAGAGAGAGCTATGGATACCCAGAGGAAGGACAGGGTAAACAGCCTTTAGAAGTCAGGAAGACTTCCCAGGGCAGGTGAAATTTGAATGGGGTCTTGAAGGATGTGTAGGAGTTCACTGGTTTAAAAAAAAAAAAAAAGCAGCCCTGACCGGTTTGGCTCAGTGGATAGAGCGTCGGCCTGCGGACTAAAGGGTCCCAGGTTCGATTCCAGTCAAGGGCATGTACCTTGGTTGCGGGCACATACCCAGTGGGGGGTGTGCAGGGGGCAGCTGATCGGTATTTCTCTCTCATCGATGTTTCTAACTCTCTGTCCCTCTCCCTTCCTCTCTGTGAAAAATCAATAAAATATATTTTTTAAAAAAATTGATCTCAGACTTCTAGCCTCCAGAACTGTGAGAAAATAAATTTCTGTTGTTTAAGCCTAAAAGCAGGCTATTTCTAGCCTCTTCTCACCCAGCAACATCAACCCTCAACCCCCTACCCCCACCCCCCCATCTCAGAGGCATCTTAGCTGCTCATCTCCTGACATGTTTAACCTGCCCTGGGTCTTTCCTGGCACAGTTGGTTGCAAACTCCCCACAACAACCTCTAGGAAGTGGCAGTGTTCTAATAAACTGTGCTTTGAGCCCTAGCTGGTATGGCTCAGTGGATAGAGCGTCAGCCCTGCGGACTGAAGGGTCCCGGGTTCGATTCCAGTCAAGGGCACATGCCCAGGATGAGGGCTCCATTCCCAGTGGGGGGGCATGCTGGAGGCGGCCAATCAATGATTCTCTCTTATCATTAATGTTTCTATCTCCCTCTCCCTCTCCCTTCCTCTCTGAAATCAATAAAAATATTTTTTTTTAAAAATAAACTGAGCTTTGAGGAAGGAACATTCTCTGCCCAGACCTCTTCCCAGCCTTTCCCTCCTGAGCCACAGGCTCCTCTGGTAGACGCAGATGTAAGCCGTCTTCACTCAGGTGTGGCTGTGAGTTTGTCAAAATAAAACAGGGCCCGGTCATCGTAACTTTCCTACCGGGATTTAAGGAAATCGGGCCTGTGGGTGATTCCAGTGGAACCACAGTCCCTTGGCCTATGTCTCAATAGAGGCTTGACTTCCCCGCTCTGAGCCTTTGCATAGGCTGTTCCTTCTGCCTGGATGGGCCTTCCCTTTCTAACTCAGTTTACCTTTACTCTTCCTTTATCCTCTCCTAACTCGTCCCCTCTGTGACACAACGCTTCCTGTGTTCCTTTCCAAACGCAATTTCCAGAAAGAGGCCTGTCTACAGCTTTCAGGTCACGGATACCCTGGAGGCAGGGCCGGGCCTGAGACCCCCTGCGGCCCAGCCTTGGGCAGCTCAGGGCCTGGCATGCTGGACAGATGCCTCAGCTTGTTGCGAAGTGGACAGCAGAGATCACGTGTCCACAGCCCAGCCCTCAGGTAAGCTTCCTTTGAATTGATTTCAACCTTTGAAACACCAAGAACTCTGGTTTAAAAGGGGAAAGCAGCAAATCTGGCACCTCCCAGTGGTCATTCCTGAACAGAGCGAAGTGGCTGTACTTCCAACTCTCCCCCACCTCCCCCCGCTGACCTCATTCAGGCCTCAAAACTGGCTGGCACCCCTGGGCATCTGAATTCGAGCCTCCTGGTCTGTGAATCACAATAATAAAAGCAGGTGTTTAAGGGTGTCACTCATACAACAACCCTAGCAGGGAGGTGCCAGCCTTGCCACCCATTTTTTGGCAGATGGGGAAACCGAGGCACAGAGAAGTAAGGTCCTTTGCCCAAGGCCACAGAGCTCGGGCTCTGAGCCCAGGCGGCCCAGCTCCAGTGTCTGCACTTGTCACCGCCCGGCCTGACCCGTCTGCTACCAGGAGCCAGAGACTCTCCCCGGTGCCCCCCGGCCCCCCGCCTCGCGCCCACGCTCCCAGCGGCCTCCTCACCTTTGATCTGCTCGCTGTTCCCCTGAGGGGGTCCCAAGTCCAAGAACAGCCGTGGCATCTCGGGACCCTTCCTCTCGGGCTTGGGGGGGTCCCCGTCTCCGCTGGGTGCCGGGTCTCCTCCGGCCCTGCTGTCTGGC